TTGCCACATTTATATTGATATTTCGAGGTTACGAAAGTTCAATGGTTCCTCTCTCTGTTGCTTTTTTCCCCACAAACCACTACATTCCCTTCATGTTTATAAATATTTATAAAATTCACAATTCAAACTGAAACGAGAGGTTGGGCCCCGTGTTCTTTGAATTGCTGGTTTTATAAATAGTTATAAAGATAAAGGAATACCTTTGCTATGCCAAGAGTAAACAATGAACTGCCATGTGTTGTATATGATATGATGGTATTTATTACTAGTGATGTTTTACAACTTGAACATTGATGTCAAAACTCAAGACATAATTTTCCCAAATCGTTCAAATCAAAATATAGAAACCATATTCTGGCGTACACAAGTTAGAACAGAAAAATATAGAGTGTATGCCATGATTTACACACCAGCTTGTAAGCTACGAATTAGTAAATGTTCGGCTAACACACACAGACACACGCACCGCGACACCTACACACACCACGACACCTACACACACCGCGACACCTAAACACACCGCGACCATGAAAGGCACAAGCACATTATAGGCGCTAACACGGTACAACTTCGATAGTGAAAACAAATTATATAAATGTGTAAACTGAATACTAGTGGGATTGTTGCTGGTAAAAACACCGATAACTACATTTACAATTTAGAACATGGCAGACAGAATCATGATTGTAAAAAACTTACCTCTTTGGATATCTGCAAGGACCTCTGGATTATTGATAATCTTTCTTTGGCGAGCTTCACATACACGATTGCGAGTTCCCGCGTCTGCTGCTGCGGCAGCCAGTCTTTTCATGTTGTCAGACTCCCCCTTCTGTTGCTTTTTATCGTCCGCCATTTTTCGGAACTGAGTATAAATGGTTGTTATATACGTGTGAGCGTTGTCGCTGACGTCAAATTGAATCCACTGTCCTGCTTTCTCTTGGTGCCACAACAGTTATCGCAACAGTCGAATTGATGCAACCAGATCGTAGTGGGTTGAGACAGCAAATGAAAAATCTCGTATTTTTCACAATACGTGAGTCATGCGACGGCAAAAGTAGTCCGGCAATGCTATTTCTGGCGAAATGACTACAAACGTAAATTCCGGCTATCGCGTTCTGTCGAACCTGGGTAAAACCCGACACGCAACTGTTTACGCCGAGTAATAGGTGGAATTTACTATGGGTTTTACCTTCCTGACTCGGCATTAGGGCGCGTGATAATGAATAATATGTATACGATAGTACATAAATTAGAATATTCCACTTACAAACGTATACGTGTCAGTTCAGCGTTTGACAATTATATTAAAATAGGAACTACGTATATGGGGGATTCACTTTCTGCTTGTAGCTAATGACTCAGGGGGAATGCTGTATTGGGAGAGTTGCTATCTTGATCTATTGCAAAGTCGATCACGAGGTTACACAGGCCCTCTGTGACGTTCAGATTCTCCTTCGGTGGTAATAATAGGTCTGGAAAACTCCAGACATTTTAAGCGAGTCTATAAAGGGGCTAGCAAACCACATACATGATCATTGGGGTAGTTCGGACTCTCTCTTCCCATCAATATTGCTGATTGTGTGTCAACCACAGCTTTTCTGTTCGGTTATTTTATCTCAATTGCCGTAAGACACTTTCACAAAAATGGGTGAGCCGAGCCTGCGTAAGTATAAAGTGTTGTGTGGCGTTAACATTGAGTTCCGCAGCGACGGAATCGCTGCGTGTACTTTTTCATTTTTTCCCAGTCAGCGATTGTATATTACATCGAATATAGTTGTAGATATACACATAGAGGATTTAAAATTTGTGATCTGTGATATTTATTTTTTTCGTGTTGTATTTTTTATGTTTTAGGCCAGACTTTTATTATCCCTTGTTTCGCGAACCCACCGAATGAACAGAAGCCGAAAATGACTCGGAAATAAAAATAAATTTTATTACAGCGTAATTTCTTGCGCCCGCCGACTTGTAAGTGCAAAAAATTGCTAAAACAAACTTGATTTTATCTTTTTTTTATAAATCTGATATCATAGGCCACGAATTTTGACTTTCTGTCTATCACATGTATTCGATTCGCAACTATTTTCTGAAAAGAAAGTATAGTGACTTCTGTTATTTTTGTGTGCGCGTCCGATTAACTTGAAAAAATAATTCATTTAAAATAATATATTTCTAGTTATAGCAGTACAAGTTAGCAACCTTTCGCGCGCAATTTTGTGGTAATTCTATCAGTGGTATCACGCATTTTATGAGAGATAGGCAAACGGAACAGTTGAAGAAAGAAATCTCATGCGTTGCTGAGATTGAGAGAATTAGAAACGGCGATGTCCACAATTTCGATATTAAAACGCAAAATAGTCATTTGGCTGGTATCTGAAATCATATATGTATATAATCATGTATATTGCGAAAACATTCGAATTTACCGTATTTTAAACAGTCATGACCAAAATATATTCTGATCTCCTAGGGGATTGTTAGTCGATTACGTCATAGTTTCAAATTGCGTGCAAGGACCAATCAAATTGTCGATGAAATGTGTGATATTGATGGTGAATATATCTCATGGCTTAATCACATGGTTTTTTGCATGACACATGTGATAATTCTGTATTTAAAGCGCGGTGGTCGTCGCGCAGCGCGTGTTCAAATTTCATGTAAATAAACAATGTATTTTACACGCGTTGTATACGTCGCTATGAGTCCCATATCGAACAGGACGCGGCACGACGACTACCGCCCTTTAAATATATCTTGTATGTTTGCAGATGCTCCCTTCATAATAACTGATATTGATGCCTACAAATGGGTAAAACATGGAAGTAAATTCGAACTTAAAGTGCACTTCGGTGGGTCTCCACCATTAGATGTAACATGGGACAAACCAGATTCTCCCCATATAAAGATTGAAAAACCCAACCAATTCACATCAATATTACGGGTAAGCAAGGCGAAAGATACTCACACGGGGAATTATCAAGCCAACGCGAACAACCATTATGGGGAAAAGAAAAGTGAGCGGTGCTGTTTACAAGTTGAGGTATGATTAATTATTTTAAAATGAATGTATATATTAATGAGAAATTATACTGTCATATCAAAATGTGTTATTGAAATTCATACCATTTGCAATTCACAGACAGATAACACTGTTTGCCAATATGTTCACGTCAGTTGTCTAATCAACTAACGCAGATCGAGACAAAGTCTAAATTGCTTTAAGGGAAGCCATCATCGTTTAGGATAGTTTAGAAAGTATAACATCGGTCTTACATTAACGTTTATAATTTAACAGCTTCCCAATCCTTTTCGTGTTTGCCTTTTAAAGTTGAGGCTAGTGTACATTTTATTCCGTTAATTTAGAATAAAATGAAACGGAGGGTCGTCCTGAGCGACGATAACAAATGCTAAAAACGCAAAAGGCCGCGTGTAGACGCTTGTTTGTAAACAATGACATGCTATGGTCATGTGACGCATGCGCAGGTGACGACTCCCCGCTTTGAATAGTCACACACAGTTTTTCAATAGAAACAAATAGTAAATGACTCGAAAATCCCCATTTTTATGAGTCTTTTTGTGCAAAAATTAGTAGGTGACCATACAGTGTTGTGATAAGATTTAATGACAATCAACTACCTTGAGCACAATTATATCCGTGTTCGAAATAAAAACAGGATACTGAGTAGTTTTAACTGGGTTGTTTTTCGGTGCTAGGGCGCTATGTCACGCTACATGTAGTTTCACCAACCATATGTGATCGAAATCATATGCAGGCATTTTAATTCAATAGGAATTCTGTACAGATTGTTAAAATATTCTGTTTGCCAAAATCGAGTAGATTATGCCTTATTTAAAAGAAAACAAGTGTTCATAGTTATTACACAATCACCGTTGAGGGCAGCATACCGCAAGTCAGACAAAAGGCAAACATTTAGAACAACACAATGCAGAAACCAAAGATAATGCATGATAATCACACCCAATGTTCATTAAACTGTCGTACCATGATACGCCAAAGACTTCGTTTATGAACAAAACAAAAGCAGATTTCTAATATTCGATGAGTAGATATAGTTTCTTTCAATCATAGTTGTCAGTCATGCCTGTGTAGTGTATAAAATGGTGCATATTCACTGTATCAACACTTATATAACAGTTTATTTATGATGTAATCATATAACTAAAAACAAGATAATTTTGAATATTAATAATATCGATAATAACAGCTTTAATCTTCATGAGAATGTTCATTATTTGTGGTGCTGATTACGAATTTGACGTCGGTTAAAGTGAGTATCCATTTTTACTTTTCACAGAAAACACGATTTTCATCATAAGGGCGCCATTTTGGATTACGTCACACATGATAAATCTTATAGTCAACAAAATATTTGTATGATTTATGTATGTATATACATAAACAACTCATATATCTGTTTTTATATCAAATGTGGAGTATAAAATTACCTCTCGAATTCTTTGGACACGTGACGTGGCGAGCAAGCTACATAATGACCCTTCTTTCTTAACAAATAAATCAAATATCAATAATATAATATATTTGAAAAAGTATTTGTATTTCTCGGCTCGAGTTGTGCTCATAATTTTCTGTGTCAAAGAAATATTTGGGAAAACTTTATTTAAAAAAACAATTAATCTGGATATACCTCAGTACTGTGAAGCGCCAAAATGTTTATATGCAAATGAGGCAAGGGAAAATGTACTACATTGCTACTTGAAAGACATGTTTGAGGTCGAATGTTGAAGCCAATTCACTGACCTACCTTAGTTACTGGTGTTGTAGGCAACTACAGTTCATTTATTTATCTGGAATTACTACCGGGAATTCTTCATTTTAGTACACCAATGTCTAGAGAGTCTAGTCAACGAGCGCGTGCTACTGTTATTATATATTCACGCAGTTTCCCCTTGTGAACTCAAGAAAATCGTTGCGTTAGTGATAGCAGTAATTTGTGAATTATAAAATCTTGATTACATGTAAGAATTATTCCAAATGCCAATAAAATATGTTTTCTGTTTTTCAACTCAACTCTACGATGACGAAACAAAACTGCCACACCCGAAGCCAAACTTTGAATGTATGACATTTACTGTTCGTTAATTTGGAGCAACAAAACAGCCTACGAATGTGTTATTTAAGCTACCCTGCAGTGCATCTTGCAGTTGTATTATTTCTCTCTAAGGTGGAAAACGGAGCTAAAATAACTCGCAACAAACTTCTATGTCGTACATAAATATGAGGACATAAATGGATCGCACCAGGAATCATGAATATTTTCTCTCTTTTTTTTATGAAATTCCCAAGTCACTGTTAAAAAGTAAAGTAGCCATAATAGATAATAGCCATCTCAACTATAAAGGGCCTCTATCATAATAGAAAGACCTATTATGATCGGTACCTGTCTTGTTAGAACACAACGTGTCCCTTTCTGGTTGGATATAATAAAGTTATTGAAAAAGAAGACCACACTGTCAATATTTCACAAGCCCACGCAGAAAATAGTTGAAACAAAGAAAATATTTACTACATTCAGGATATTTACAAATTATATCCCAAAATAGAATTATTTATGAATTTATCACACTTAAATATGAACATCTCATAATATAAAACACCACAGTCGGTTCTATGCGTCCGTTCCTTCGACGTACAGCACGCATCCCGGCACGGTAACTCCGCCTGTGCCTACCGTGAATACAGTTGTTACGTTTTCAAACGTGCGACGGTTGAAAATCTATGTATCTATAATAATAATAATAATAATAATAATTTATCCACTACTAATAATAAGTACAAGAAGTGCTAGTAAAGATTACAAAAGAGAAGAAAAACACATTTTTAAATACTATCTCATATGTATATTATATGCCAGTATTGAATAGCATGCTATGTTTCTCTGTAAATGTTTATTTACATATAATCACCATATCCTATTTACAGGAATTATATACCGATATATATCGGTATATAATTCATATATATATATATATATATATATATATATATATATATATATATATATATATATATATATATATATATATATATGCGCATGTTGCAACTATACTTACAAATAAAGGAAGCATCGTATATATGTGTTTTTTTATTAATTTAAAACTGTTTTTGATTTTGTTTTCATTCATTTTATTTTTGAAACATGCTCTGTACATGCCCACTTTTGTATGTGAGGACAATGGGAAACAATTAGTTGTCAGTTATGGATATTCAGTTCCTACTAACGTATCACTTATATTTTACGACTCGGTACCAAGAAATCATACTGAATGTTACGTTGCGTATGGTCATATTTTAATAGTTCGGGTTTGGACTGAGTTATTATTGCTTATAATAAAATGTTTAGACGTATACATAACGTGTCTCGTTATTCTAATATATATTAGAGCTGTGTCAAGCTTAATGTGAATTAATTTACTGTCAAGTTGCACACGATTTTTTTACCTTCTCGCAAGGAATCGGAAATAAAAGTATCAAATACTCATAGTGTATTTTGAATAGTGACTTGTTTTATAATTCCAGTATCTGGACAATGTGGAAGAGACGCTTTTATTGTGCTTGTTAAGTTATCTCCTTGTATCAGTTATTGTTATATTAGGACTGTCTGAAAAAAGTAAATTTATTCTATAATAATAAAGTAAAATACATTTTAAATTTATCAATTTACAGTGTATTCTTTAAAATGTGTTTCTAAACTTAAACAAATGTGCAGTTACTTAAAATATAAAATTGTTGTGCACTTTGTTACATATAAAATATGATATATACTAAATTAATCCACAGACGACAGCACCATATGCAAACTATGCGATTTTCATTTCAAGCCAGAAACAAATACTGTGTACGGTGAAAATAATATTTTATCCTTTTTCTTGAACCGATAACTAACATAACTTATTGTCTACTTGATATTAATGTTTGAGTGTTTTGATTTATCAAGTATGTTGAAAGCTGTAAATTGTATATTTAAAATGATAATTGAAAAACTAGATTTGTGTCAACTTTTTTTTTATTTCATTTTTTTTATTTCACAGCCACAGCCAGAGCCATGCATATTGTGCTGAAGAACTTAAGCATGGAAACAATCACGACGATTGCTGAATTGCAGTGATTTTATTTCTAATGTATTTCATAATTCTGTCTGATTTTACTGTGTTCCTGTAATTGATCTGTATTTTATACGTGCTGGAGGTTCTGGTGGGTGACAATTACAACAGGTTCTATATATATATATATGACATTCTCACATTGAACGTTGCTAGTCTGGTCATTCACATGCTGGCACCTAAGTCATGCTATCTTGAAATACTCACTTTTAATTGTGCAGTTTTTATTTTCCTCACACTGAAACTATTCCAATCACAAGCCCAATCAGGCAAGACTACAATCACAAAAAGTGGACACGTCGGTTTGAAACATATATTCAAATTTATCACGATATGGTTTTCACATTATCCACACCTGCAATATGAATTAGTATGCTTCTTTAAATTGTTATAAATGAGTTTAAAATGCAAATATCCTCATACGGACGATTCTAAATTATCCAATCATATCATTAGTGAGACTGAAACCACTTTCAAACACATTTTCTTACAACTGTTTATGACCACTAATCGACAACTTTATCATTTGTATACTTGGTATCTTCTTCAAACTGGTGTCCCAATGTGACGGGGACTGCCCTCATTTCTGGTCACTGCCACATAAATACAATAGGTACATCGATTCATGCAAACACTCTCTGTACACTTGAAATACCTAATATTTTTATTTAAATGTATTTATAACACATACCGTAGAAGAATTTCTTCTCGATGTTCCCAAGAACTTCTATTTTAACCTATTTCTGGTATTTTTTTTATTAACATTGTTAATGATTTCAGTAACTTCATTGACTTTAGTGATTCTGTTTGTCATGTATTTATTTTCTCTGATAGCTCTTATAATTAGGCTTTTGCCTGTTGTAACTGTTACGAATACAATAAAATGAAATATGTTTGATCACAATGGTAATTCTTAACAATTCTTTGGTAACTATGGTAACACTATGGTGAGAAACTGTTGAAATTGGCTGTGTCCCATTCATATTAAATATGAAATGCAGAATACACATTAATTTACCGTGAAATAAAACAATTCAAAACAGGTCAAGTATTTTATAATACGCGGGTGCTGCCAATCAATCACTCGTCTTGTTTTATCTAACAATTGGGAGTTCAGAGCAGAAAGACTGTAGTACGATGGCAATTTTTTTCGATTTCGCAGAGAATCGGTTGATATCTTCCCCCACAAAAATTCGATAACCGTCATATATATTCACAAATATTCGTTATTGCAACGTGTATTATGTATCACATGACGCCCTCTTCCCCACAAAGGCCCTAGGCCCAGTAAAAAAAATACTGTCCAAGCATATTGTCAATACAAGAAATATATAGAGGTATCCAAGTACCCCCGGGAAGGGGCATTCTTTAGTACCTCTTTACAACGAGTGACTTGAAGTGGCCGACTTATTTAAGCAAACAATTACAATTATCTTGAATAAACCTGAAATTCAAGTTGAATTGAATAAATATAAGATTTTGGGCAAGGATTTCCTTACACCCTTTTTTCGATTAGAACAATTATTATTTTGATACATAAAAACTGCCGAACAATACAATTTTAATATATACACAATGTATAATATCGCAAAATATATCTGATCAAATTATTATTTATTGGTATTTTATATGTGAGGAAAAGTTCATGTGGTAGTATATGGCATATTTGCTGTGCATGAGGTTCTTCGATTGTCTGTTTTTGAAATGTAACGTCTGGCACTTAGGAGGGCATGTTGTTACACGTATTGCCTGTTCTGAGTCATCTCATGCCATAGCAGGCTACTATAATACCCAATTTGTGTAATCGGAGTGTTAATAGCTGACACATCTGTCTGTTAGAAAAACTGAAGCTTTATTGTGAGATCTAAATAATTCTAGGACACACAAAGCAAACGAACAATGCTCATTTATGTCAAAAACAATAGGTGATAAATTGCAATTAGGATTTTTCATGGGAAATATATAAAAATATATTACTTGTCCCCTCTTTTTTCCCTCTCCGGGTGCCAAAATGAAGAATAATTTCTCATCATCATACGTATTTTATACATGAATAGTGAGACAACTTAACAATTTATATGCTATATTTATATGCACCTATTGCCATGGTATCGAAGTGACACGTCTTATTTAAACACGTGCGTACGGCAATGAGTTCCCCAACAAAGTAGACAGTTTGCATTTCATGATTTAATTTTTTATGTTGTTTAATTCATTTATAATTGTGCCTTATACCTTGTATTGAGTGGAATGAAGTTATACTCATACAACCAATCAGGCTGGCTTCAAAAAATTAGGTCAATGATGTTATCTATGTCGACAATGCAGATACAATGTCGGGAACAACAGACTAGCTCAAACTGAAATGAAAGCAGCTCGCCAAATATATTTACATGACATGTAGATCATTTATTTTTTAGAAGGTACACCATCATGACTATTAAATATATGACAAGAAAAGGATATGTCCGTGTGTTGTACGTAATGTGGGGGTTTCTAAGTAATCCAAGTTTCTATGTCACTAATTAATACTTCCACAACAGCTTGGGTGCCCCTTTTTCCATTTATTGAGTCCAGTAAATCGGGGTTTCTCACATACTGTTACTTCCAGACTAGCTAATTAGTAAGTGCATATAACCAGAGTTTGATGGCATTTTACCAGTTTTGTATGACTGTAATATTTACTAGGATCATACTACAAAACAAGTTTCAGTAATCCATGAACTTTTCCAGGAAACATAGCGTTCAAAATTATTCTGGTTCGAAACAAATCGTTCCCAATGTGTACACGACTACATTGACATAAGCCACAAGCTTGAGTGTACATTGAAAAGGCGATTCAAATATGCTTTTCGATCATTACAATGTCATATTATACCATCAGATAGAGGAACACTGCAATGAATAGTGTCCGTCAGTGTGAACCTTCACATTTATTGTATATTTTGAACTGCCCAGCCTGATAGCATATCTCCATATTGATGGAAATGGTGAGCAGAGATATGAAGTCAAATTATAAACAACACTGGGCAATTCACAGATATAAACCCGGTGGACAGAATTTGATGTATTACAAAAATATGACACAATTTGTTTGCAGGGGTTAATGATATATTTGGGAGTTATGTCATGGTTTCAGAGGTTAATAGTTATTTTTGGGGTATATCATGAGTAACAGACTGGGCTATACCATTACGCTAATAAATAACTAAAAAAGATTACAGTAGAATCTTGTATTTCCTGGGCACATAGCTTTAATGAATAAAGTTGGTCCATCAACCACGTACATAAAACAACACATTTTACTTGTGGGCACGATTCAAATATGTAAGTACAACCAGTAACACGCTGCTGATCTCTTCTGCGTTGAATTCTCCACTCTAAAAGTTGTTCACATTGACATCACAAAAACTGTCTGTTACAAAAAGTTCATCGCCAGCAAAGTACTGGACAGTTATTAGATTAGTACTGTAAAATCTGTATTAGAAACCGCGGCTTCTATTAAAATGGTACAATGCAATAGAGGGGATGCGGCTTCTATTAGAGCACCTAAACATATGAGAAATGATGAATTTTTCGTTCTCAATTATTCAAAAAGGATGGGTGCGACTTCTATTAGGGATGCGGCTTCTAATACAGATTTTACGGTAGTCAATGGATTTGAGAGAAGTGGTCCAATATATATCATCAATGTTCATATGTAATTGGAACAGCATCAATAAGTTGGCAGTGGATGTACACGTACTGTATTGTTTCTTGGTATCGTATATACATTCAACAGTGCTGTGGAAAGAAATATAGAGGGTAAATATGTGTCTTTGATTGCGTAATATTTGGTAAATTTCGGTGTGATTAATTATGAGAGGGTCAAACTTTTTGCTCTGTAAACACAACCAGGGGAATGTACTATTAAATAAACGCAGTATTCAAACGATAGTATATGTTAGGTATAATACCAGTTTGGAAACACAATTTGGAAACACGTTTCACACATGTTTTCGGGATAAGTGATTGTAGCCGGCCTAATATCCTAATAGAGTTTATATTTTAAATTACTTGAAATCTACATGTGTATATGTATATGCGTGTATGTGTACCATATAGTATATGGTCTCCCTTAGTCTGATTTGCCTTGGTAAATTAATATGTCGTGTATTTCAGCCAGGTATTGCATTCGGTTGAGAATTTGCGAGATATTGCTTTATACTAACCTCTTCTAATATCAGCTTCGACTTCGTGATTGTTGATAAGTTTCCGACATCTTACTTCATGACGGCGTGAACCACTTCTAAATTCTGCTGCAGTCTCTTGAAGTCTATTAATAGCAGTGCGTCGACTGTTGTCCTTTGAGTTGAGTTGGTAATCGGCCATCTTGAACGTTCACGATGGATATCAGCGAAAGTATGCTGTCGAATGAACACAATCAGAATATGATATACTTGCAATGCTAGTACCCTAACGACTGTTCTCAGTATTTCGTATCTCTGGAATTTTCCAATCTATTCATGCCACATGCGAGTGTTCTGGAAAGAACCGAATTACTAATCGCTTAAAATAACTAGTACATGGAAAGATTATGCAATTTTATATGACGAGGCTGTTGGGTTGTTGATCGATCTGTTTTTGTGTGATTGGCTGGTTCCTTGTCAGTCATTCTGGACAGTCATAGTGTGAGACTGAGTATGTGATTCTTTTCTTTTAAAAAGAAAGTTGGGTGTGACAAGCTGATCCGTTTCTTTATTTATGTATATATTAAGATGTGAAAATAATGAAAATATACGAACATATTTACAGTAAATATGAACATTGTGACAGCCTATAACCAGCCACTGTACTATGGGCATTCAGTGCTAAAGTCAACTTGCAAAGAATATACTTTGACACACAAACTATTTCTTGATAAGAACAATAGACTGATTAGACTATTTTTAATATAGGTAGGTAGTTCTGCCAGAAGGACCATATGGGTTTACAATCGGAATGTCACCCCGTGCGCACAATTTTAAATCATCAGCACTACTTTTACATTTTCAATTTGTTATGCAGTTTATCAAAAAACAACTTGTCACCGCGATGGCTTCATAGAGTCAAATAAACGAAAATCTGAAAAAATATATTTCATTTAACTCTAAACGTTATTACTTCTACTTACACGCACCAGGGATACTTTTACCTACAGTATATAATGGACTCTGCTGGGACATTTATGGGAAAGGAGTATTGGGAGGTGAAAGCACAGTGTGTAGGAATAAGGAGGGTATTGGAGATTTAAAAACACGTCGCACCAGGTAAGTCCACTGTCACATTTACTTTAAAATTTGTCGACTACAATTTAAAACTAAAAAATGAGCGAAGTGTGGTTATTTGAGATACCTTTGAGTAAGTTGACTTTTATTCGTCGGACAATTTGTTGCAAAATACGTATTGAAATGGTTCACACTGACACTATATGTATTTTCTGTAACATTTTTATTTCATTTGTTTACAGGAAAGCTAAATATTACAAAGAAATTACCATGTAGTTTTCCAATTTTATCTCAAAAAGAACCATCAGAAATAATCTCAATTTATAAACCAGTATATTGCTTACATTTTATCCCAAAATGTACAAACTAATAAGATGTCTAGTCGATTGGTAATGTTTGTGTTCAATCACTCAACAACAGAGCTTGACAAGTTCGTCTTTTTCCCACCTGACATTGAAGGGACATTGAAAGCTGTCAGTTATTTCATCACAATTGATTACATTTAACATTTTTTTCCCGATTAAAACTGCAAATAACATGACAGTAAACCGAATTGGTGGGCCTTTTCAAACAAATGAATTTGAAAATCACTTTGCAAACATCTGTGAACATGTACAATTGTAATTTGTCATGACTGTTTACAATAACTTTTAACCAATGCCCGATGGTGTACTATCATGAACACACTAACTCAGAAACATTTCTTTGCAATGCACCCAGTGTTATACATTACACTGTTCTTTCTGTTTTGTTCCAGGTAAGCTTAAGCCGTGGAAAGTAAACCTACCAGTAATGTCAAGATCCAGTGAATAATTTATTCAAGAATATTGCAATACGAAATTTTAAACGTTTTTACTATGCTGTTATTTATTCCGAGGCACTGTGTTTCCATACTAATAATGGTAATTTAAACCTTGTTTAATTCAGCTTTTAAGTATTTTATCACGATCAATTTGTTTGCTCATGTAAGGGTAGCTCTAATACGTTATCAACTGAAATATTAAACGACTTTCCAACGTAACTTGTGGTATTGTGTTATGATGTCCCGGGACTCATCATTGGTATACGTAATAATGCATGTCAGACTTTGTCGAATACTTACCAGATCAGACCAAATCGGGATAAAAGCAGCAGATAATGTCACAGATAAAAATAAGTTACGCACTGCTTTTTGAGT